TAGACAGCATCTATTTATGAATGAAATTTATGGAAGAACCTCGTTTAACCAATTAGGGTTTTAATAGGTCATCTGCTAGGCATGAAAGTACATAGGGGCTGATAAAAACTCCACGATTTTCATGTTTATGTCTTATAGTTAATATGTCTTTGTAATTAATTAAAATAATTCACAACATTTTTCCACTTATTTTCAGACTGATGGACTTGATCAAGTCTTCCAAGATGTGCACTTTCCATTTGAGAATTTCACACAAACCGATACAGTTGTTGATACCGATCGTAGGGTGGTGGTTGATATGAATATGCAGACGCATGTTGAACGTGTCGTCGATATGAAAGTGGTCTACAACACTACATATGATAATCACCCAACCCAAACATTGCAACAACAACAACATCAGCATCATCATCATCAACAACAACAGCACCACCATCAGTCACAGGTGCAAGCAGTACAACAGCAACCTCAAACACATCAGCAGCCTTCACAAAACCTAGTGAATTCCGAAGAATTCAGTGATCCGGAAGATATGCTGGAAGGCATTAGGGATAAGGTACTCATTGAGGACACCTGCGATGCAATGGATTTAATGGCACCAAACTCAAATGGCGTGCGGCCACATTGGTAAATTGTCTTTTATGCGTTCTTCATTTTTGAAATAAATACTGATTCCTTTCTCTTGTAGGTTCAATAATAACTGCTTCAATGGCATTGACACTAAGGGCAAACCTTTCTGTGATGTATTGTTTTCGGGGCAATTTGCTCCCATGTTGAATTCGGAACCAACAACGGTGGTGCCACAAGATAATCATCATATGGGAGTGGTGGTGGGGAAAATAATGCCAAAAGATTTGCTGGAACCTACACAACAGGTTCTACATCATCCAACCGATTTAAGATTACAATTTCCCGAGACAAATGATGGTATGAACAATAGTCATGAAACACCAGCACCACAGCCTTCAATTCCAGTAGTACCGGCGCCGCAGCAAATTGCAATACCCCCACCACAGCAACAGCAACAACCGCATATCCCTCACCATACACTTGGCAATAATATTGACCTGATACAATCTCAACACATAAAAATTGAAAATAATAATCCCGATATTCCACCTGCCTACCAAAGGGAAAATATTCAAATGGTTTCCCATAATGTGATCGATGATCAGGATTATGATAACGGTAACAGTGATGATTTTCGATCTCTTTCACCTAATTCGAATAATGAAAACGAGCATCAAGCCAAGGGGGAGGGTGAGGAAACTGATGATGGCAGTGAATTTGTGGCTGAAGGCAATGGCGAAGATGAGGATGGAGAAAGTGCAGAAGATGGTACAACTAAACGAAAACGTTATGTTTGCAATAAATGTCAACGAGTTTTTAACTCTTGTAATGCCCTAAAATATCATCATCGTACCCATTCGGGGTTGAGGCCCCATCAATGTGATATCTGTGGCAAATCATTTTTCGCTGTTGGTGCCCTAAAGGCCCATACTCGAACCCATACCGGTGATAAGCCATTCGAGTGTGAACACTGTAATCGAAAATTTCGACAATGGGGTGATCTCAAATACCATACCATATCGATACATAGCAATTTAAAGAATCATCAGTGTGAATTTTGCGGAAAGTCATTTTCCAGGAAATATTCTTTGGTGGTACATTTGCGTATTCACACCAGTGAGCGTAATTACAAGTGTGAATTTTGTACAAAAAGTTTTCGGGCATCAACATATTTACAAAATCATCGTAAAATTCATACAGGTAGGTTTGAGAAATTAATTAAAATTAAATTTATTGTTGAATGTTGATTTTTCTTTTTTTTTCTCAGGTGAAAAACCCTATGAGTGCGATATTTGTTCGAAAAAGTTCCGTGTCTATGGTGATTTACGACGCCATCTGCGCGTCCATGAACGCAATCAAAAGCAGAAAGAAAATGCTGTTGCAAAAGAATTGAATACTCCAGCGCCGCCTAACAAGACTATTATTACATCGCCTCCCACCACATAGTCATTTTCAGTTAACCATTTTAATTTTATTTTTTATTTTTATAGTTTTATTTTACATAGTTATGTATGTATGTTGTAGAAGTTTTAAATGTAGTATTAGCCTAAATCAACGCAACTAGGCCTCACATAATTGTATGATTTTATCATTAGTAGTCTAAGATCAGATAAAATTTTATATTTTATAAAGAAACTAAATAAATAATATTTATTTTTAGCATAATTTCGGTTTTGAGACAATTATTGATTTGGGGTATTTTTTATTTTAAAAAAAAATTGGTGAAAATATTCGTTTAAATTTTCCTCAAATCTGTGAGCATCAAAGGCATTATGATAATTAAAAATTAAACATTTAAAGCATATTTTGGGGCGCAACAATGTTATTATGGTTTACAACACTAGATAATATTCTATTCCAGCCATAGACTAATAAGTATACAAACGAAGGATTGCTCTCACAGTTTATCTTGGAAAAAATTCGCATCAGCAAATGTCGTCTATGTCGCGTCAGGAGTATGACTGAGAATACTGAAGTCACTGAAATCTAAAATATTTTAAAAACTAATGGCAACAAGTAAAAAACAAAAATCAAAAATTCGGCCGAACCGAGGTTTTAATACCCTCACCCATTGGGTAAGGAAAACATTTTTATATAAAAGTATATGAATTCTGAATTGGATAATGCTGTTAAATTTGTTCAAGAGAAAAAGGCCATAAAGTGGGTGAGCCCGTTATATGGGGGTCATACTAAAACGGGAACCTCAATAGACAATTTTATAATTCAAGGTTTGTTATCTACCCAATCTTCTTAAATGCCAAAATTTGAAATAGTTTCGTGGGTATTATCAAAATATTATCAAAATACCGAATATCGGTGGGTATCGTAATATGTGCGCTTTGCGAAAACGTGGACCTAAATATTCGATGTTCTGTCATCGGAGCTGGAACCCATTACGCACTACAAATACCAATTTTTAGACAAATCCGTGAAAAAAATGTGACAAAAACCATAAAAATACCGAATATCTGAAGGTACCGTTATATGGGGGCTACACAAAAACGTGGACCCATACATACAATTTTTCACCACCGGAGCCAAAAACCATCATGACCCACAAATACCAATTTTGGACAAATACGTGAAAAAATGTGGTGAAAATCATAAAAATACCGAATATCGGGAGGTACCATCATATGGTGGCTATAACAAAACGTGGACCGATATATCTCATTTTCAATACCAATCATCCTAGGCACAATACAAATTGTTCTGCCTAATTTTGAAGCTCTACGTCAAAAAAATGTGAAATATTTCAAAGTGGTATACCCTCCACTGGTTCATTATTACATCTGGGTGTCTGATTATATATATATATGATGGCATCGAAAAATATCCTATTAAACAGTACAATTCGAATATGTCGACTGGCTCAAACGACATGGTGAATATGCAAAAAAAAAAAAAAAAAAACAAAATCCCCATTTCGATATCTACGTATTCATTAGTCTATGACCCAGCGTCATTTATTGTCTCTCCATGTTCTAAAAAAATAGTTTTTTTTTTTGTCAAAACTTAAAAATGTTTAAGGATATTTACGCGGTATTGTTGCCTTAGGAAAGATGGAAAGTATTTGAAAAAAAAAAAAAAAACGAAAATTTAGTTTAAAATACAATTTTTTAAATTTTACCTGAAATGTGTTTTAAATGCGGTTTCATAATAACTATCAGAAGTTTGAATCTTTTGAGCTGTATTAGTTTTCTGACTAAACTTATTGGAACGTAATAGATTTTCAAAGATGGAAATCAAAAACTATTCGGCTGTCAGGAATAATTTCCATCAATAGATGGCGTTGTGGACAGATTTTGAATCAGTGTTGTAAAAGTGATTAATTCGAGCATATTCCTTCGGTTTTTAATTTTATCTAAAGTGTTTGAAGACATTTTATTAAATATTGGAAAAAATAAAATTTATCCATTCTACAAATAAATAAAACAACTGTTTTTTTTTTTGGATTTTTTTCGCTATTGCAGAGCTTCCTTTATTATTTGCACTTGTACTTAATTATATGTACAATGTAGATGAGAGTTTCCTTTTTGTTTTTCTTTTTTTATTTCAAATATTATTTTTTTTTCTTGTTTTGTTTTTTCCTTTGTTTCACACATTATTTTTTGTTTGTTTTACAATTATTATAATTTATTATTTTTTTTATATATAATTTTTTGTTTGTTTTCTTGTTTTTTTCGCTTTCTCATCATCCTTGTTTTATTTGTTTTGTTTTTCTTTTGTTAAGACTTAAAATCTACGTTTTAAACTTGTTGTTGGTTTCGTCTTTGTTTTTTTAATTTTTGTTGATTTTTTATTATTTTTGTTAATTCAGTCAATGAAATTCAATGTTTTGTTGTTGTTGTTTTGTGGGCGTTTCATGTGTTTTTGTATTTTTGGTATGTGGATGAAGAAAATGGGTTTTGGTTGCCTGTTTTGTTGTTGTTTGTGGTGGTCAACTGAAATTGAAAAAAATTGTTTTTTTTTTCTGATTTTTTCTTTTAAATATCTGTTTTATTAAAAATATCTTTTTTTCTTATTAATTTGCAAATAATTATGCCTGGTTATTGTTAGAATATTGTTAGGTTAGGGGGGTTCTGCTGCTGCTGCTGACATATGGGATAATGTAATAATGTATAATAGTTTTTTGTGGTTGTTTTGTTTTGGGATTTTCTTTAATATAGAGAGTCCTTGGTTTTATTTGGATTTTGTTCCGTTACACTTAAATTTAAAAATGTTACAATGATATACTCGTACTCTGGTGAGGGGATTTGATTTGTTGTTGATGTTGTTTTTTTTATTATTTTTGTTTAATATTTCTTTGGGTTTGCAAAAGGTGGTGGGTCTATGTGTGGGATTTCTTTTTTGTTCTGCTGGGAAATGGATTTGTGACAAAGGTTGTTTTTGTTTTGGCAAGTAATATATGTGGTTTATAAATTTATTAAAAAAAAAAGACAAAAAATATTATGGAGCAATGGTACAGCACAGTGGGTTCAGAGTACACTGAAATTGAAAACAGAATCTCCAAATTATTTTGAAGCAACAAGGTATAGAGTCCTGGGTTTTTATAAAACCAGAAATAAAACGGTAAAAATCTGTGAAATGCCAAATTACTTAATAAAATAATTAAGGGTCATAATAATAAATTGTTTCCATAACAGTTTTAGGGTTAGCCCCTTATAAATTGAATAATGAAATGGAAAGTTAGATAGGATATAAAAACTCGGAACATAAATGGACTTGGAGCCCTCTCCAATTTCTTAACGAAATTATGTCAAGACAAGTGAAGAAACTGGAGTTGCATTTCTCATTTTTATCAAAAATACTTTTAGGGTGAAAAAATATAGAAATTGGGAGAATATAAACTTTTTTGTATAAATCTCGAGAAGTTTTTTCGCTGCTTACCATTTTTACTCAAAATTTATTAACATTTCGAACAGAAATCAAACCAAAAAATTAAAATTTGTGAAATTTTTTCTATTCAATACAAATATAATTTTTCTATAGCGATTGGAAGAATTTGTCAGCAGAACTGATAAATAAAGCGAACTAAGCTAGCAGGAATGACAACCTATCTATGAGAATAATCAGTCGGATATTCAAGGCATTGAATATCAAAATTAAACGTAAGAAGAAATTTTAATTAGTTTTGGTTAACCTGCAAACAATTTTCCATTTGCATTGTGTACCTGGTCATTCCAATAAAAATACTGACGAACGGAATAGAACGACTCACGGTCTCCAGAACTTTGAATTTGTGGCATTTTTTATAGAACTTTTCTTTAAAAAAGGGGCCAAGATGAACTGGTATAACGAACCTCTGGCCAGTTGTGTTTCGAAGAAGGAAACAGTTTCTGAAAAGAAAGAGGCCACTGAAACATTTAGAGTTAAGAGCTGAAAATGACTTCTCCCAAGGAAAGCGCCAAATTTCCCTAGACATAACCACTTCCTGCAGACTTAAAAAGGGACTTTAATGACGTGGTCATTCCTTAATAGACTTAAAATGGGAGCTAGAATCAGGTCATGGTTGGACACCCTAAAAGCGACAGTGCAGAGTGCATTATGTAGCTAAGGACTCTGCGAGAAATCCCAACGAAGTTCTCCAAGATTGTTTGACTTTAGAGAGAGTGGAATTTCAACTTTTTTCTTTAAGATGCTTGAAGTTTTTTTTTAAAAATCCACGATTTTTACACAGAAGGTATATTACTAGAAAAACTTCTTAAAAAGTCCACGATTTATGGTGAGGAGGTACGTTTAACCCTTTTCCCCACGAAAAAACACATGTCTGGTCGGGATGTCTTTCATTTTTTCCACTAAAAATCCAAAATTTTTATTCAGAAGATACTTGAAGATTTTCCTTAAAACAACCACGATTTTTGCTCAGAAGATATATTTATCTGATATATATAAACGGTTTCGTAAGTAAGTCAGCTAAATTGTCGCATTTGGGTCACAGGAAATCCGCATGCCTTCATTGAAAAGCCTATGTACCCAAAACTAGTCACTGTTTGTCCTAGAGGCATCATTGGGCCATTTTTCTTCGAAAATGAGCAAGGAGTGGTCGTTATCGGACGAATTTTACAAAAAATTAAGAGGATAATATTGGCCGCTTTTGTTTTCAAAAGGCCGCTTTTGGTTTCGTGTGTCACTCAGTTGGTATTTTGTATTCTCTTGCTGTCAAAACACAATTTTTAAATAAAAATTTTGACGTGTAAATTATTAAATATATTTTTTGTTTCTTCTTTTTTGACAGATTCCAGGCAGAAAACTTGTCAAACTGTGGCCTAAAATCTCCTTCTGTTTCACTTTATTAAATGTTTATAAATCAAATATTAATATACGGCTTTTGGATACCACTGTGCTTTACCCATTTAATTTGCAAATAATTCTAAATTAGGTGTTTTAAGGGATTTATGCCCAGAGTTATGGTTTTTATATTTTTGCCAAGAGATAAAAAATTATAACCAATTTGATAAAAGAGAGCTTGGGATTATTGTGTTATATTGTTTATATTTTCCAGTTAATAATATATTGTATTGTAAAGCTAATTGAAATACAGAACCGATAATTCAATGGGAGAAGGTATGAGAAAATGGGAATCTTGTTTGGTTTTAGAAAATATTAAAATAACTCAATTGTTTCGTCTTCTTTTCTTTTAATACAAATTAGAATTACATTGATTTTCTTGTGTGTTTGTTGTTTTTTTCATTCATTCTTTGTTTTTCCTTTATTGAATATTTATTTATTTCGATTTGTTTGTTTGTTTTTTATTTTGTTTTCACAAATATTTACAACTACTTAAAATTTAAATATAATTTGTTATTTGTTTTTAATTCTTCCTCATAATTTCTTTTCGGAGGGAATGGGCTGAATCTTGTGGCCCTCTCCCTCCTTTTTCATCTTCAGTTTCTGGCATATTTTTTATCATTTGTAATTTTATGTTGTTTTTTTTTGTTCATCAGCATGACACCACAGACTTTTTTGGTTTAGTGTGTTGTTTTTTTTAAGTTTTGTTCTATAGAGGAGCAGGACAATTAAATATATTCTTTGGGGGAGTTGGAAAGGTTTTTTTACAAGGGCTGAATAGTTATGGATTGCCAGGATCCAATATTGGGGATAATGATACACATTTTGACAAATATAATTAAATTGTATTTTGACTTCTATTTCTGGATCTTTTCCAGAACCTGCAAGAAACTATTATTTTTACATATTTTTTTCGATATCACAAAGGAAATATCGGCTGTCGAGGCAACATTTTTACATTCTTGGAGGTTTTGGAACAGAGCATATTCTTAAATAATAGGAATTTAAATTATCCGATTAAGAAGGTAACATTTTTTTTTGTCCTGGGTGGACACAATTAAAAAAACTTTTAGGGTAGAAAGTAATGTTATTTTTGGTTTGGATACCTTGCAACGTCCTTTAAAACTATTCAGCCAATGTTGTAAAAAATAAAAATTATTTAAAAACTGAAACACCTGTGGCTCCTCTTTTCCAGGGATAGTCAAAAATATAAAGAGGACAAAATAGGATTTGTGTGTGTGTTTGTGAGTGTAAGTGTTTGGTTATTGATGATGATTCTGGATTTGGTTTATAATGATGATATTGTTGTATTTGTAATAATTTTTTTTTGTTTTGTTTCTTATTTATTTTTTTGAATATGGGTGGTGGTGGTCGGTATGTGAAATATATGTTTATTGTTATTGATTATATTTTGGTTTTTTGTTGTTGTTATTACTGTTATTCTGTTTTTTTATATAATGGTGAAAAAATATGTTTTTTTGTTTTGTTATTTTAGTTTGTTGTTGTTGTTGGTATGAGTTATTTTATTTTTCTTCTTCTGTGTAAAAACAAATTTGTTGTTGTTGTCGTATTGTATGTTACTTTTGTTTTAGTATTAATTTTTTGTTTTGTTTCTAAATATTTTTTATTTGTTTTGCATAATTTATTATTGATTTCATTTGTTGTTGTTATTATTGTTGTTGTAATTATGGTTTGTTTTGCATTCCTTGTTCCGTTAAATATCGGTTGGTTGGTTGGTTTTGGTTGTCGACTGTCTTCTCTAGAGTTTTGTTGGTTGATTTTGTTTTGTTTTTTTTTTCTTTTTTTTGTATTTAAATAATGATTTGTTTTCCATTTTTTATATTCATTCTTCCTTACTTCCTTCCTCATATCAGTTTTTATTTTCTGTATTGTTTTTTATAAAATTATTTGTTATTTTTATTTGTTGTTGTTTTTTATGAATAGAGGTGTTTGGTTTTTTTTTTATTTCTTACTTCATCTTACTTCCTGCCTTCTTCCTTCATTCCTTATGCTTTCTTAAGTAAAAATGTGTTTTTTTGTTGTTTTTTTCTTTGTTTTATTTTAAAATGTTTCATTTTGAAAATATTTCATTCTTTTCGTTATTGGATTCGGTTTCCATATTTGTTTCCATTGTATGTATGTTTTTTGTTTTGTTTTGGTTATCGGTTTAGATTTTGAATTTGTTTTATTGTTGCAGTTATAGTTGGCCAGTTCTGTTCAGTTGTATTTTTTGGATGATTTTTGAATGCAAAGTGAATGTGGGGGAGCGTAATTTATGTGTATTTCTAGTGTATTATGCAATTACTATTATCATTTACAAGTTATGTAGCATTAACCGAACTCTTTCCGATGAAACACTATTCGAAAAGAACATTGGAAAGAGGAAATTGTAAAAGAAAAACAGATTCAATTTTTATTTCGATTGCAGGTCGATACTTTGTGATAAGCTTAAAAAATCCTGATGAACTTTATAAGCAAGAAAATTAATCTTAGGCCAATATTACAGGCAGGACTATTCTACGATCCATTAGAAGAAAAAAAAAGGGGTCAAGGGGTCACAGATCAATTTTTTTTTTACAAACCAACCTCGGGAACCTCTTTTTCTACATACTACAAATACTTATAGTTTTTGGTGATTGTCCAACAATTGTTACCATAGGATTACGATTAACATAGAATCTATAGGATGCGTCGAACGCGAACAATACCCTTGTGGAAAAATGGACATAAAGGAACTGTGAACTGTGAATATTGATAACTCATTGGGGAAGGCAGTTTCCACCTGACTGGCTTTTTGGATAACTATAACTGAAGCCCAAATAGAAGTGGTTCTGGTGGGTTAGAGATCTTAAGAGTAACACTACAAGCCCTGCGACCACATATATGTTGACAGACAAACTTCCGCTGAACAGGAAGTTGTGGATAAAAAATCGAGAGAATTTCTGATTGCGGAAAGTTCTCAGTGTACTCCAGAACTAGAGCGTGACTCCATTAAGCTTTGGTCGAATCCCGGTCAGGTAAGGGAATGGCTGATTAATGAACTAGCTAGGGGTGACTCAATAGAAGCTTGATCCACAGGTCGAAGAAAAGAATTTTATGACTGAAATTCTCGCAACAAGGAAAGCAAGAAGGTAGTATAGGAGTACCGTAATCAAATATAGCTCCTCAAACTCCAGAACATTTTAGTGATACGGGACTCAATTTAACTTTTTTGGTCCCCGTCCATAGCCACATTGCAGGAAATGAAATCACTGATGAACTAGCTAGGAGTGACATACCAGTCGCATGATCCGGCGGTCTAAAATGAGAGTTTTCAGTCTGAAATTCTTTCTACAAGGTAGTTTTGCAGAAACTGTTACTCACTCAAGCACCACAAAAGCCAGTTCTATTCATGCGACTTTTAGAGGTACGTGACACAATTAAGCTTTAATAGGTCCCCAGACTCAGTTGCATTGCAGAGAATGAAATGACTCATGAACTGGCAAGGGTGGCTCACAGGCTGAAAATCATGCAACAAGGTAGTATTGTAGGAACCGCTACTATATATGCAAAACTCAAGGGGTTCTAAATGTACTCAAGTATTGCACCACAAAATCCAGAGCTATTCATGAGGTTTTTAGAGATGCTTGACACAATAAAGGATCCCCATACACAATCGCATTGCAGAGAATCAAATGACTCATGAACTGGCTATTGTGGCTCACAGTCACTTAGTCTACCTCTAGAAGGGAAGAGTTTTTAGGCTGAAATTCTCGCAGTAAATGTAAATGTAGTATTGAAGGACCCGTTCGATAGTCAAGGGGTTATAAATGGACTCAGGTAAAGCACCACCAACTGTAGAGGTCTTTATGAGCATTATACAGATACATGAATTGTTTTTGTTAAAACTCTTTGTTAAAACTCCGGCCAAAGTCACATTGCATAGAATGAAATGGCTCATGTACCTTCCTAGGTGGCTCACAGTACCTTGATCTATCAGTCGAAGATTTTTTGGGCTGAAATTCCCGCAATAATGGAACCATGTACATGTCGATAGACAATGGGTTTTAAATGGACTCAGGCGTCATTAAGCTGTGTTAGTACCCCAGCTACAGTCACATTTCCGAGAATGAAATGACACATTAACTAGTCAGGAGTGGCTGGCTGTTGCTTGATCAACCAGTCGAAGAGACATTGACTAGCTACAACCTCCTTCGTCTACAAAGGCCCTTTACATCGACTTCAGGTTACAGGTTGAAATAAATTTTGGGACACGTGAAAGGGTTTAACCATTTTCAAAGAGTAAAATTCAACTTGTTTCATTTTATTGTCTAAGACACATAAAATGTATATAAACTCCACCAAAAAGCTTGCATCGACTAAAGTTTGCATTCGAATAGTGTTTCATCTTGCTCATTGTCTTATGGGAAGTTCTTAAAACATTGAAACGTTTTGTACGCATAAACAAACATAAAAAAACATTATTAAAATATAATATTATAAATTGAGATCAAATTGTGTTATTTGTTAAATGTTACTTAAAACAAACAAAGGCAATAAAATGTTATTTCAAAATCTCTTGGAGAATTTCACATCGAAAAATATCACAATTATAATTAATAATAGCTTAAATCACATTTTGGCAATCAGATCAGCAGTTGGAAATCGGTAAAAGACAAGATATATAAAGTGAGATTTCAAATGTGTTTTAAACTTAAAAAAATCGACAACATTTAATTATACCAAACATACAGAGACAAATTAAAAGTAGGGCTTTTCGAGGTTACTGTGTTTTTAATATTTTCATATTCTGAGGATTTTATCTTCAAGGAAAGGATGTGTAAGTTATAAAATTTTATAAACAAGACAACCCCGAAAGCTGTTAACTTCTTGGATTATTATTTACACATCATTTCACAGATGATATTCATAAATTCATAGCGTTATTAAAAATCGAAAAATACAAAAGGGTAATATAACGTTTGACATTTGAAACACTGATACAAAATGAACTATTCATATACATTCCATTAAATTATTTTAATTAATTATTAATATATATGTATTTTGAATAGTTATGATATAAGGTTTGCAAAAAAAAATAATTTACTAAAAAAAATTAAATGAAATAATTTCAATTTTCTTTACATTGAAAAGAAGATATTTATAAAATTTTCTTGTCTGGTCTTAATGTTCCAACAAAATCTCCGAAAGTTTTCCATTCAAGTTTTTGCTTTCAAATCAAAAATTTGTCACATAGTAGTTGTAGATCACAGTGATTCGTTTATGCAACGTTCGTTTTGATTTTGGAAATTCCCTTTTGGTTTTAAATCAAAATTTTAATGCCTTATTAGATGTAAGTTTATGTTTACATATATTAAAATTATTAGATTTGTAATTCATTTTATGCTTAAACATTGAAATAAGTATTACTTATTTTTAAACAATTCTTTAAAAAATAACAATTAATAAATTTTTTGGAGAAACAATTTCAAAGAGAATTCAAAGTATTAAAGGATTTGCGAGAGATATGTGCAGTCGGGGCGGGGTTATAACGAAAATGTAATACAACCAATCATAATTTATAAGAGATCTTCGTTATAATCCTTATACGACTGTTCGTTAACAGAGCATCCGGGTTTCTGGGTTTCCTTATGTGTAGATTATACAAATTTAGGTTTGTAAAAATATGAACTAATATTACTTAGTAATATATTCCACATTAATGCAATGATCATCATCAATTTAACAACATAAAATCGAGGCATGATGCTAGACCAAGTATCTGGAACATTTTACCAATCATTGGTAATAATATCCAGTGACACTGGAATGAATTTTGAAAATGCCACTCTTTTAAAATACATGAATTGAGGTTATGCTACTTGCATTGGATCCTATTATTGATTTGAATTGATATCACTTATAAATGTGGACTTTCCTTCTAGCAGTTGTCAAACACCAACCTCTTCTGTGATTGCTCCAAAAAATGTTGCTGCTGCTGGCGTTGTTGTTGATGATGATGATGATGGTGGTGGTGGCAACGAAGACGGCGACGATGATAATGATGTTGCATCCGTATGCATTTGCAGAATTTTAGGTACACATTCGCTTGTTGTTGCTGTTGTGGTTTTTGCTATTGATATTTTATGGGTGGCCACAAATTGGGTTCCAGCTGCTGCTGTTGCTCCTGCTGACGTTGTAGTATTGTAGAAATAGTAATAGTTGTGATTATAGTTGTTGTAGTTGGTATCCGGTACTATTGTTGTTGCTATCTCAGTATTATTGATATTAGCATGAAAAGTAGAAGAAGAAGACATTCTCCCGCTTGACATTGTTTGTTGTTGCTGCTGATAGTAATGCTGGTGGTAGTTGTTGTTATTATTATTATTGTGGTTGTGGCTGTGATGATGATGATTGTGTTGGTGGTGGTGATGGTGGCGACGATGATGATAGTGATAGTTTTTGTTGTTACTGCTGCTGCTGCTGTTGTTGTGGTTGTTGCTGTTCTGAAATTTTGTCTTTGATTTGGCGCTACATTACAAACTAACCTGCTGCATTTTATCAAAATCTAAACATGGCCTGTGCGGTCTCTGCAGCCGCTGTGAATTGTGTGGTGTGCGCATGGGTCGGCGTCTAGGTGATATTGCACAATGGAAGAGTTTCGCCGGTGGACTAACCGACCGTACCTCAACATCGAGACCAGTCGTGGAGGCAGGACTACTGCGCGAACTATTAAAATGAAAATTATGCTTGGCTTGAGGTTGATAAATGTGATGACTGCTGGTCGAACCGCTCATTTTCATTTTGATAATGCTGCTGCTACCCTCATTGTTTTCGGCATTCTCCTCCTCGGTGCCCATGGCACAATTAGCCGAGGACGAGTCGCCATTGTTGCCAACGGCTGATCCACCGTTTTCATCATTAACACTATTATCACATAACTTAATATTTTCAATGCCGCAACGTGCCTCCTGCAGTATGAGTGGCGTTGTCGAACGATACATGTGGCTACGGTTCGGCTTGAAAGCCTCCAAAGGCGGTGATGTGCGAAAGTTGACAGGCGTTAAAATCGGTTCCAAGAAATTTCGTAACTAAGGAAGAGAAAAGACAAGAGATAAATATGTGATACAAAAATGGGCATCAATTTACTCACATCATCATCGGAACTGTGTGCCAGTGATCGTTTACGATTCTCTACTAATGTTGAACTGGACCTTTTCAAGGCCGCTGCTTCTCCCTGCAACTCATCGGGATCCAGTGATGAAGTCCCACGTTCTGATATCAGCGACGATGTGCCACGCACTGTCAACACATTGCTGGCGGCATGCGCCGCCTCAGCAGCCGCTACAGACGAGGGTCCATTGATAACTTCAAGTTCTTCTTCGGAACTGTGCTGATCGTACTGAAGGTGGGATTTACACATCATCGCAGAAGATTCTGATGAACAAATTGTATCGGTCGGAGAGTTTGCATCGGTGCAGGAACTAAAACCTGCAATAAAAATAAAATCGATTAGTAAAATTAAAGAGAGGCTCATTGATTTATTTATTTATCAATGCAGAGGTTCGAGATAAGGCTATCTTTTTTTAAAATTTCGGTAAATAAGTTGTTAAAATATGTTAAATAACGCATCCTTGGTCCCAAATTCAGACAGGAACATGAGTTTAATGAGGAATAAGGTAGTCGGATGTAGTAATTGTCAATATATTTAAACTTAACACGTGTGAATTGGGTCTTAGCATTGGGCGGTATTTTGATGATTTTAGCGACATTGTTCATCAGAATTGCTGTCGAAGTATCGAATTTAAAGTTCGTAGTGGATACTATGACAAAAAATAGTTTATGACAGAAAATTGTCTATGCAGGTCCAGGTCGTACAGTCCCCATATAATATTCGGTATTTTGATGATATTTGCTACATTATTCATATTTAATATTTGAAGTTCTTGATGGGTACTACAGCCTATGACAGAAAATTGTGTATGCAGGTCCAGGTCTTCGTATAGCCCCCATATTCATATGGCTACCTCCTAATATTCGGTATTTTGATGATTTAAACGACTTAATTTATCGGAATTGTTTCATATTTAGTATTTGAAGTTCTTAATGGGTACTACAGCCTATGACAGAAAATTTTCTATGCAGGTCCAGGTCTTCGTATAGCCCCATATATGGGTACCTCCTAATATTCGGTATTTTGAAGATTTTATCGACATTGTTCAACGGAATTGCTTCCAATGTCGAGTTTAAAGTTCGTAATGGGTACTACAGCATATGACACAAAAATCGCGTATGTAGGTCAATCCGCGTCTTCGTATAGCCCTCCCGATAATCGGCATTTTGATTGATTATCTTGAGGTTTTAATGTCTATAATTAGTACGAACTTGGAAGACAATAACCATTTGCTACTTCGTTAATGATAAAGACCAAAGAGGCATGACTGAGCAAATCAAAAGCTCCACGGCTCCAACAATCGCATCTCCTGTTCTGACGAAATCAATATTTGTACTCAAATTGGCGATGGGCTCCTTCAGAACATATTCTGTGTGTTCTGTGTTTGTATGATTTTTTTCTATCTGGTTCTGCTTGTAACTCCAAATTCACGGAGGAAGCAACCTGTATAGATAGGGTCGATGGCAATACCGGAGTTAGATAAGTGGGATTAGCTGGGCCATGAATGAGGGGCAGCGTGTCATGTGGCACTATGTCACATGTTGAGCAGGTGTTCTGCGCTCTGCTGTTAATTTGGGCCCAATACGAGTTGAGGCGGCTGCTCCATTCGGATCCTGATTTTGCCAAAACTACTCTGGTTTATCTGGACAGGTTCGAACTCTTCAGCTGCGATGCGAAGGGGGATGATCTCTGAACACGGTGTTCGTTTTGCCTCAAGACATAACCGCGTCAGAGTAAATATCATTCAGTCCTGCTTGTTAGACCGGAGGTTGCCTTTCCACCAGATGGTGATTGGCATGGCTATGTTTATAACACCCAATAAAGTATTGCCTGGAATACGTTTCATAATGCTGTCGCACCGGTAAGACCTTCCCCTTCCCATGTACATGGTCTACAGGTATCATGCATTCAAATAGCCATGGGCTGAATAATTTTCCATTGCGTAGCCCTAAAGTAGTCTATTGAGACATAAGGGGTCAACCAGGTTTCTCCTCCCCAAATGCGGAAAATTATTCAGTCCTGTTTCAGAACGCTAACTACATGTGTGGGTGCCAGTCGTGTGTGGAAATCAGAAGCAAGAATTCAAAATCAGTATAGTTATATTTCCCAAGAGTGACATGATATCGCCGAACCAGTTTAATAACTACGTTCCTCTATGTATGCCCTTCCGACATCATAAGTGACCTGTTAAATCGTTATGGTTATTGTCTCTGTTGATGGTTGTGAGGAATATGAAGAACTCGCCATAAATTTTGAGGCACTGTATTCACAGCGTAGTCAGTGGAGATGTGGAATGTGCACGTCTTCTGTCAATGAAGGAGCTACCTTATGGAAAAAGTATATGAAGAATCAATGGACGTATCCTTCTAAATTATCACCTTATAAAAAGACCTTCTTTCCCATGACGGTTGGAAGTACCTTGATAATCCAGGGAGGCGAGATATCCATGAAGATAAATTTACAATTATCAGTATCCAGAGAGGGAGAGAAATGATCCGGAAACAAAAAATAATAGCATTTTTGAACATATTGATTACAAAACCAATTTTTGGTCGGTCGGTTCCGTCATCAGATGTAAAACCTCAGACTGTGTTATGGACTACTCGAAATGTTGGCCCTTAACGGTGAAAGTACTAAATATTGTCCACTTCGAATCTGACAGACATGTCAGGTTTGAACAATTTCCTCCACTTGATATGCGTATATTTTTTGGAAAATGTTAAACTTTTGAGAGAAGGTTAGCAGAAGTGGAGCCATTTTCACACTTCATTTAATACTGATAGAAATGTGGTTAATCAAAATATTGACATTTTGTAGGGGAAGTACGAGAAGAACAAGGACGATCTTTGAAGACAATTGCTCACTTGTTTCGCATGTTATGAGAGATATAATTATTCAAAACTTTGACCCTTGTGGGGGATGTTTTAGAAGGAGTGGGTAAAAATATCCTATTGTCAAACCAGATCACAGTTGGTAGAAATATTGGGATGTGCAAATTTTTAAAAAAATAGAACCTTATTTCATATTTTTTTAAAGAATTATTCAAAATGTTTAGCCTGAGTTGGAGAAGGAGTGGCCCTATATTGCCCATTTTCGTACCTGACTCAGCATATATAAGGATATTTTAAAATATTAGGATTTTTAAAGTTTGAACAAAATCGGGAGATCGTTTTCTATGAGGTACATTATTTTCTTTGAACATATTGGCTTTTGGTGGAAAGGTGCCAGAAGTAGTAGACCGAGATTGCCCATCTCCGAACTCGATCGGAGTTTGGTATAAATATTACGATGTAGAAAGTTTAGACCCCCCATTCGATATTCCCTACGAGAATTATCTTGCAGAAAAGCTAGAGAGGTAGACAGACGAACGGACGGACATACCCAAAACGAATCGAAATATCCTGAAACAGATTTCGCCGTTTCAAACGATGTATGCTCTCTGTAGTCTATATGTATAATGATAGAAAGAAAATATAAAATGAGTGGCGCCAATGAGTGCATAAATACACAACAGGTGTGAAGATAACTGATCGAGTTCCTCCCCACAAAAATATTCTAGCACCTTCGAAACTGCCTCGCTTGGGGTTCTTTATTATGATCGATAATATTTATAGATTACCACATACAGTCACAGCCGCATGATCTAAAGCTGGAGGCTTTTTCAAAGAGAGATACTGCAATGAAGATGGTTTTATTTACATATTGTCTTTAAAGGACATTAGACCAAGTAATCAGCCCTGCATCCAATATCTCTCTGAGGATGGCAATAGGATGTTAATTTTTGAGTTAAAGGTCTTCTTTGTGCAGAGGATCTAAAAATAGTCTTCCTTAAAACTATAGAGAACACTTGACTATGTATATAAGGCCTACGAATTCAAACTACTATGAAATCGAAAAAAACTTTTTGAATTCAGAGGACTAAGAGATGGTCATAGATCAGACACAAACAAGGCCTCTCATGTTTGGAATAATGAAATCGTAGTAGCAAAACACCGGCTATGACTGCTGCATTCATACTTACTAGTTTCCATATCCAACTCTAAGTGACGTTGATGATGTTTTGTATCCACATCTAAGATATCGCCATCAGATTCAGTACCCGAGTCATTTGATTCGCCCTGCAAGAGAATGGAGAAAAGAACTTTGGTTAATAACGAAATTTTGATTGAAACAAATTCAAAAAATATGATAAAGGTGAGTTCGGGGTGGCAGGGCAGAGGACGTATCGGAAAGGTATTAAATTGTTCATAAAACACAACCTTTTTCTTGAAAAAATTCTTGGCCGATTTATACGAGGAAGAGTACGACAAGATGGTGGAAGTGGACGACGACTCCTGGTGTTGTTGTTGTGACGAAATTAGTTGCTGGTCCTGATGCTGTCGTTGCTGAAGATAATACTGCTGCTGTTTGTGTTTGACAAACTTTATCATTATTGGCCAACGTCAAGGAAAATTTGATAAATGAATGGAAATTTTAGGTTTCCGGTTAGTGAGAGAGTGAGACAAACCTGTTTTGTTGTTGTTGTTTTAGGGGAATATTTTTGATTTCGTTTTTGGGTTAATAAATTTAATATTCGCCGGAATTTTTCCAAAAGCAAATCCTGTATTTTTTCCTTAAATACACATCCTAGAAAAAGCCAGACACTTTTGTCTATGACAATTTCTTGTATCTCTATTTCGGCTTTTTCGCTTTTGCTGCTGCTGCTGCTTCTTCTTCTTCTTGTTTGTCGTCGTCGTTTTTTGGTTGATAGGTTGGTTGGTTGGTTGGCTGGCTGGTTAGTTGGATTATAATGACGACGATGATGATGGCGATGATGTTGATATGAGGGCGATAACGATGATGACGATTAAGAAGAACAACAAGAAGAAGAGTTGAAGTAGGAATTAAAACCCAATACCGGGAGTAAATGTTGCCGACGATGTCCAATTGCCGATAGTAGTAACGGGCAATACGACACGGCGAGTAACAACAAAAACAGAGTACGTTGAGTGAGTATTCTTGTAGTATTTTTAGTTACGCTCCGGCACAATGAATTTTCCTCATTGTGTGGGCATCATAAATTAATCAACTCACACTCTCCTCTCTCTATCGGTCTCACTCTCTTCCTTCTGCGCTCTCACTCTCTTCCTTCAATGATGATGATGATGGAAACAATAATCACTGACTTTGTCTTTGTTACTGTCAAGCAATGACTCTCTCTCTGTTTTTCCTCTTGCTCTCAATGTGAGTAACAATGAGAATAATCACATATCTCTCTGGCACTTCTCCTCTCCCAAAGACAAAACGAAACTAACAAGTGATGTTTGTGATGATGACAGTTATGTTTGTTGGCTGCTGTGTTGGTGATGAATGGCAAAGAGGCGCAGACGGCCAAAAAGCCAACAAAATCCTTTAATACACCTCTCTTCTCTTTGCAGAATAAACAAATGGATGGATAACAAATCTCTCGCATAAACAGGAAAATAGATGACAAAACTCACACGCACTCTCCCGAACACTCAGGACACCAATACACAGTAACTTGTCCAGCAGGAGGAACAAATCTTAAAAATACTAAACCGAGGCGGTTGGAACTACCGAAGCGAATGAGAGATACTACGACGAAGGCGACATGTTTTTCACAGCAATTTTTTCGACAATGTTTACCGCCGTCGTATCGGGTTATAGGAGGTATGTATTGGTGCGTGTGTCGCTGTGATTGCTGCAGCTTGCTGTTGCTGCCGTCACTAATTGTTGTTGGTGGTGCTGGTTGTCGTAGAACCAACCAACCTCTCGTCCTCTCGTTTGGTCTGTGTTGAATGCAAGGTGGCTGGTTGGCTGGCTGGAAGGCAGCCTCAGATCACCTTTACCGTAAGATACAGTACTGAATTATCGATTTTCTTACTTGGCAGTCAAAATTCTACAACAACACAAACAAACAAAAAACACCAAATTTTCCGTTTTTCTTTAATGAAATCCTACAACACTTACAAGTTGGCAAGTTTTTTATGAAATCTTGGGTAGTATTTTTTATTTGTAGACATTTTTTTCTCACTTCCCAGTTGGAGGAATTCTAACTTTGGTCTCAATATCGAATCATATTCGCAAACGTACGCATTTATCGCCGAACGATAGCAAGGTAGTAGTTAGCCGAATTCTTCATTTATTTCTAAAAATAATTTGATGCATTTTCCAGCAAATCCTTTCTGGATTCTTTCACTTGTATCCACAAAAATTTCTATCCTGTTTCTTTGGCTTTTTTCTGCTTTCTTCTTCCTCGTCGCGTTTTCGCTTGTCTAAAAATACTACAAAACTTCGCCTGTCACCGGCAAACGTTTCACACAAACTAATGACACTCTCTCGGTGAAATATTTCACACGACGACGTCGACAATGGTGAGTAAAAACGTCTCAATCACCAACAGTAGCAGCAGTAACGGCAACTAAATACACACGTGACAGTGATGGTACGTTGGCATTGGAGTGCTGGTACTGCTTAAAAGTACCACAGACGACGTAAAATGACTAAGACTGAAGATGGAAGGATCACCAGAGAAAAAGACTAAAAAAAACACATGTTTTAAGTTTTTTTCTTACTTGAAGGACCAAAGGAGCTATAATTGTCGTATATACCACCATTTCGTATTTTTTAAGAAGGATTGGATTAGAGTTAGAGTCTCATATTTTTTTTAATATCTTTTAGGATATTTTTCGAAAGCGAGCTGTAATCGTGAATATTTATTCATAAATTTAGAAGAGAAATGTTTAAGAATTTTAAAAAAATATTTTTTGAAGGGCCACCAGAGCTTCAATCTCTAATTTTTTAGGAATATTTTTGTAGGACTCTCTAATGTATTTTCGGTAGATTTTATTAAAGGATTATCAGAAGCGTGGATTTTAATAAGAATTTTTTTAAGCCAACACAGGATATGCTATTTGTTAAGGACCATCAAAGGTCGAATGGTGTATTTTAATAATATAATCAAGCTAACTGTAATCGTAAATATTTCATCCTGGATTTTGAAGACAAATTTTCAAGGATTTTGAAAAAAAAAAAATATTTTTTGAAGAACCACCAGAGCTACAATTTGTAATTTTTTTACCCTCCAAGCTAGCTGTAATTGTGAATATTTAATCCTGGATTTTGAAGACAAATTTTCAAGGATTTTGAAAAGAAATATTTTTTGAAAAACCACCAGAGCTACAATCTGTAATTTTTTATACCCTCCACCATACATTGTCACTCCGTTTGTAACTCATCGAAATAATAATTTTAGACCCAACAAAGTACATATTTTCCTGATCAGCGTAAAATTCTAAGACGATTTAGCCCGGTCCGTTTGTTGGATTAAGAAGTTAATCTTATTTTGCAAAGATGCGCTATATCGATCCACGATATCGTATAGCACCTATATAACGATACCCTCCGATATTGGGATTTTTGATGATTTTAGCCACATTTGTCAATGGTATTGTCTGAAATTTATGAGCACTTTACCCCCTGAAAGAGAATTGTCTATATAGGTCCACGATATCGTATATCTCCCATATAACAGCACCTCCCAATATTCGGTATTTTGATGATTTTAGCCAAATTTTTCAACGGAATTTTCTGAAAATTTACACAAAGAGTTCCTTGTGAGTACTTTATCCCCTGGAAGAGGATTATCTATATAGGTCCACGATATCGTCTAGCCCCCCATATAATGGTACTCCACTATATTCGGTATTTTGATGATTTTAGCCACATTTTTCAATGGAATTCTCTGAAAATTCTTACAAGGAGTTCCTTGTGAGTACTTTATCCCCTGGAAGAGAATTGTCTATATACATAGGTCCCCTATATAACGGTTACTCCGCATATTCAGTATTTTGGTGATTTTTGCGACGTTATTCACCGGAATTGTTTCAAATTTCGTATATAAAGTTCGGAACAGTTACTACAGCCTATGTCATAAATTACTTATGCAGGACCACGTCTTCGTATAGCCCCCATATAACGGTTTTCCTTTGAACGGTATCTTCCGACGGATTTTTTTTTTTGAAAATTTTGAAGTTATTTCCAAATTTTGGAAGGTATAAAAAGTTCGGCCCGACCGAACTTAGGTGCTTTTTTATTTGTTTAGGAATATTATTGTAGGACTCTCTCGATATTTTTTCAATGCCTATCAAAGTTTAAGAGTGCATTTAGATAAGATTTTGTCAAGCACCAAGAAATCTATAAACGAAATTTTTTTCACAGATTGTGAAATTATAAATGCTTTTTCTGAAGGAGCATCTTGAATATTTAATCCTGGATTTTGAAGACAAATTTTTAAGGATTTATTCTGGAGGACCACAAGAGTTTTAATCTCGTGCACCAAGAAATTTACAAACGTAGATTTTTTTCAAAAAAATTTTCCAAGGGCTATAAGTTGCAAAGTGAAGTTTTAAAAAATATTTCCCCTGGAGTTATTAGAGATAAATTGAATTATATTTTTATGACTATCAGAGATATAAAAGTTTTTTTTTTAATATTTTGAGAACCGTCAGCGCGAGTTTTTTGAAGGTTTAGACTTTTATAAATCTTTTCAACAAAATTTTTAAATATTCTTTCAAAGGCATATGTTGGGAATTTTTGGAATTTTTGTAATTTTTTTAGAGACTAGTGGAGCTTCAAATCGTGAAACCTTTCTAAGTATTTTTTTTTTAGGAAATAAAAAAGCCATAAACTTGGATTTTTTGGGATATTTTTTTAAGGACCAGAGATGGTTCCCCCGGTGGCTCCTCATGAATTAAAAAACATTTTTTTTTTTCAGAAAATACAAGAAACTTTGTGGCCATAAATGGTTGATTTAAAAATAATCAAAACTATAAAACGTGGATTTTTTAAAACGTTGATTTTTAAAAAATATATTTCAAGGAATATTTTTGAGCCATAAAATGTGGGCGTTAAATGTTTATAGTTCTATGAAACGTGAAATTGTTTTAAAATATTTTTTTAGACAATACCAATGCCACAATCCTCAAGGGTCAATTGACCAATGTAGATTTCTTAAGAAAATTGTTTGAATGTGTCAATGAACCAATAACCGAGGTGTTTTCATTTTTTTTTTCAAAGACCTGGAATCGGTTCTTTTTTCAGAATATTATTTCCAAGGACCAACAGACCAATGATCCTTAATTTTTAAGAATAATTTTTCAAGAGCCAAGAGACAAATAATCGTCGATTGTTTAATAATTTCTTTTCAAGGACCAAGGGAGCATATTTTCAAGGGTCAACTGATCGACAACCGTTGATATTTGATCATAATGATGGATTTTTTTAAATATTTTTTTAAGGACAGCTGACTAGTTATCGTGGATTTTTAGGGATAGTTTTCCAAGAAACCATCATACAAAAAATGGCGGATATTTTAATAATATATTTTGAAGGACCAGCAAACCAAATATTGTGGACCTTTTAAGAATATTTTTTTATGGGGCAG